GAATCTAATCATCTCCAATCAACAAATTGTGCAGAAATGAAATGCACACAAGATCCAGCATTCCGTAGGAAAATGTGCGAGATTGGTGCTTGGAAAATTTCTGACAGATTCAACAGCAAAACATAATGCATATGAATAAATGATCAACAGAATTGAAACTGTATGTGCTTCCATCAACTTTTACTCACAATTTCATCGACCAAGTAAGAGTCTGAGTTGGAGGCAGAAAATTGGAATTTTTATACCTCGATTTTAATCAATGCATGCAATTCGAAGTAAAGATATAAGAAATACAGTACTCCACGTAACTCAATAAAAATAAAAGCACGTGGGCTTTGCAGGTATTGCGGAAACCAATTAATCCTCCCATACTGTACTATGCTAATGATCCATTTTATTCTTCGCTAATTCTGAAGTATCTTATAATTTAGATCTCGCTCATAAATGTCATCATGAACAAATATGGACATGCACCAAATAAACGCCAACAAGTTTAGGCTAGGCTTCTGCCGCTTAAATCATCGTTTTAAACGCTGATCTCCAAAAGTTTGTTTCGGGTTAGAGGCCAGCGATGATATTGTCAAACAATATACATGTTGAATAGAAGAAAAGTTTCGAAGCTGAGCAACGTGTGCTAGAGACGAAGCGAGGAGATTAAAAGTTATACGAGCTCGCATCATGAAAGAAGGGGTGCAGGACCGGAAGTTCTTCCGGAATAATCCTCCAGATCCTACTTATGAATGACAGCACTACGTGGGATCATTTTGATAATCAATGATGAAGTTGAACGAAAGAAACGGAACAGAGGTATTCCATCATACATGAAGGAAATCAACATTGTGAATCTTAGCGATTCATTCTTGTCACGCCGGACTGTTTCAACTTAATTTGCTATTTTAATTTTCTTGCATCATCATATCGCTCACACAGTGACGTTATAAACTGCATTCGACCTGGAAAAAATGATACGAGTCCAATAATCGTTTATCTATATCTTCAATATTCTTCTTCTGCAGTTTCTCTCCTCAGAAACTGAGTCAGGATACATTATTTCTCTAATGAAGGAGTCGTGGATTTATTGCGTCTTTTGCGCTAGCACAGAAAATGATTGTCTATCCATATCAAAGGAAAGCACGAAACGCAAGTGGGATTTCTCTGGCTTTTTGCTCTGAAAATAGAATGGCTCGAACTATGAAGTGGGTAGGCGGAAAGTCGAGTACAGTATCTTCAAAAAGCTGGGTTAGTTTCTCCGGAAGTCGACCAACGTGTTTGAAATACGATATGTTGGGAAGACATACACAGTAATATACTGCATCCCGTTCGACGTTGGGTCGAGCTTTATTACTTGCGTTCTTTGATGTCGAGCCATTTCGAAAGGCCTCATTTCCGGTCAACCCCGGGGAAATACATAAATACGAAGATATTTATAAGTAAAAAGCCTTTAGCGGACCTTAAAGACTCTTTAAAAGGATGAAATTCTCTTATCAGCGTCTGAAAAAATTCGATTTCATTTTACTTGGAGCGCTAGGGATATTATTGTGTTTCTTCGCTGCAGGAAGTTCCATTTTTACTTTCGGGGCTTTTTTTCAGTCTCAGCAGTGAAGTGAATGTGTTGCAGAAGCACTGCCTCCGTGAATTGAAAAATCTTAAGAGGAAGTGCCAAGGGCCCAAGGCAGATGATTACTTCCCGCGAATGTCCTTTAGAGTTATATTTACCTCTTTTTTATTGGCGCCGAAGTTCATGGTTGCATCCGGCCCGAATCGCGTCGCTCGCGGTAAATATAAAGATGTTCAGCAAATACACGCGGAATGTCGCTTTTCCTACAGCAATCAATCCTGATCAGGGACTCCTGCATGGATAGCATATATACCAGGGATGAGTACCACGCAGTCACAGTATTGCTTGCGAGGCGTGTTCGAGCAGGATGGGTCTCCGGGCTTTTATGGGTACGGACCGGAAATGAATGGCGATATCGCGGAAGCGTCGGAATTTGTCGCTCCCAGGACTCTGGATGAGCGCTTCCACGCATCTCTGGAAGCAGAGGCTGTTCCTCCGGGAATATCGCGAAAAGACCAGTTCGCTTTCTTTCTTCCAACACAACTTCACGGGAAGATTTTTCCGGAGAAATGCTATTTTCAATCTTTGAAAAATTAAAAGAAACGAAAGGAAACTTTTCAATATAAGAAAAAGTTGCTTATTTGCTTATAAATTACTTAAATCGATGAGGGTAACAATTGAAGTGCCGGAGGATTCTGATCCAATAGGTTCAGCGTTTGTAACAATTTCCCTGTTAACCCTGGTACCGTTGGGAATATACAAAATAATTGGAATACGGGAACATCTGTGTTGACCAAGCGGCATTTCGTTCACATTATCGAATACAAACGCGCACATTTTTGCTGGCCTTACTCTATAAAACCCCTTCACTTCTTAAGATTAAATATGAAATGTTCAGGTTGTAAACAATTTTGTATTACTCTACTTGAAAATGGTTGATATATTCAAAGTCTCAAACGTTCACAGGTTTTCAGTGGATAAGTTGTGTATCATGCATAATTTTCAAAGAAGAAAAAATAAGCCACGAACTGTCATTTACCAGCGTTTGTAACGACCTTTCGAAGGACAGAAATTTTAACCCATGGTTCAGATGGAGCACAAGGATACATACATTTGTAGAAGTCAATCAGCCTCACGTCATCCCTGAAATTTAAGAAATCAAGCTAATGAAAGTGATTAAAAGCGTTGAACTGTCGCATTCAAATAACATTAAAGAATACGATCTCAAATGAAACCGCTTTAGCCCTGTATTGCGAGGAAAGACTCCTGATCTAATAAAAGTTAGATTATTCGAGGTCAAGACTGATTTATCTCCGATTTTTGCACTGAGTGTATCAAATGATGCATGCTCATGAAAATGAGTTACTGTCGGTGGTCGATTCAGAGATCCTTCAGAGTTCCAAGAAAGAATTCCCGTTGAGAAGGAGAACATTATGGATGATCCGAACACGAAGAATTGACGACGAATGCCACAAGAATTCCTCGATATCCACTCATTCAGTAAATGCTGCTCGAGATCGCGGATTGGGAAGAAATGATGACCGGACCAATCTCTAAAAGAGCCTGGTTGTCCGTCTTCCAAGAACCCCACGAGAAACCCGCTTCGAGGTCCCCTGACGAGTTCGCGTGACCCGAGGAAAATTTATCTCGACGAGACTATATTAATACAGGGTACTCGCAATCTATCTCGGATTCGCTTTCGAAATGTAGCTCGAATATTTTGTTGTTTTCCCTTTCTAGTTCCATTCCAGTGAACGATTTTGCATTTTTCCGGCTTCCGTTTCGGGCAACTCGAGCGCCGGAAAAACTGTACTTTTTTTTCGGAACAAATTTTCCTTATTCAAATCGCCGGAAGCTTTGTTTCAAAGCTTCGAGATACTAGCAGGTGACAGAGAAGATTTCATCTTCCGTTATTTGTAATTTAATTACGAATGACGAAAATAACACAGTGTATCGCCACTTGCGCGCCGCCAAAACAGGAAGACCTGGAGATTCTTGCAATTAATTTAGCATCTGAATGAGCACTTCCTTAAAGAAAGTGAAGATTGTGACGTTTACAGATGAATTCATGCAAAAGGCCGTTCAAGCGAGGAAAATTACTACTTGATCAACCAGAATTGTTTGAAGTGATGAAGTGAAACCCTGTGGGAAAGATAATTGGTTTTTATACCTTTCTTTGGAATCTGTACGTAGAGAAAAATGGTTTACGGAATGCTGCTCGAATCGGTCCAGTATTTTTTGCAGGTGAGCAAAACCATTTATGTTTTTCAATTCATTTTACTGGATTTTGTGTGATTTTAAAATCAGCGCCATTGAAACGATTTTCACAACGACGGAGGAGGGACAGACATTTTTTTCTACCAGAAATCCTGGTCTGAAAAATATATAGAAAATAAATGAACACGAGTACAGTCTGTGAAACCAGGAGAAGATTAAAAGAATAGAAAGAAGTCGGAGATGAAAGCTTCACGTTGAATACCACCGAGTAGACATCGAAGTCTCGCCATGATGCGTGGTTCCTCTTATAAAGGGCAGTACTTACGTATGGCTTACTAATATTCGGATCCTCTTCTACAGTCTGTCTTTGATGAGGAAGAATGAGGCTCTGAAGTATGATTGTTAATCCTGTCAGCAAAAAAGTTTCATTTTTCGGGCAATGTATATTCAGTGTCTATAAGCGCAACAAAAATCTAAGCATGACAGTGACCTATGCTCCTTTTATACGCAATGCCACGCTTTCGACCAAAATCCTCTCTTCCGCCAGTAGATCCAGACTGAGAATTTCGGATAGATATAGGCCAAAGAAATGATTCTGAGCCCCGGAGACAACGAAACCCACTTTCAATGAAAATACATCACCATGAATGCCGTACAGCTTTTCTCTCTCGCCCCCTTCGAAAATCCCCAGACTGTTGAATTTAAATGCACACTGTATATGCTTTCACGAACATCGTTTGTCTTTCTTTTCGAAACAGTATTTAAGAGCAAGCATCACCTGTTTCTCGAATTAATTTAAAAAAATTTTACTCGCTAAAAAATACAGCAAAAAATAATGAATAAACTGAAATCGCCTCTTGATGAGGGGAAGCCAGCAATTTAACTTAATTGACTACTCAGCAATTTCCAGCGAATATACTTAGCTTGTTTGTTTTTTCGCCTGATCATTCTAATGCATTGCTAAATCTACCATGAAAGTCAGTGTGTAAACGGATCATAGATGCTCCCACCGTTATTACGGTTTGCTCTACAAACACACAAAGTTTCCCACCATCCATATACTGCCCTGGAAAGTCCTCTTCTTGTATGCAAACCACGACATCCGAGTGCATTGGTTCGAAAACCGAAAGGCACAACAGGGGACGAAAGACATGCACGTCCTTTTAAAATGCAACCATGCAGCAACAGGATTTTTTGAACAGACGACGGCTCATATTATGTTTTCATGAAGCTGGAGTACGGTGAAGATGTTTGGCATGACGTCCTGGAAAAGGCATGTCTGGCAAGGAACACTATTTTCTCGACGCATCAAATTTACCCGGACTCGATCATAGCTGACATTGCCACAGCTTGCGCTGAACTGACCGGCTATGGGTCCACGAAAAACGACTTCTTCGAGTTTTTCGGCCGCTGTTTCGTAAGGTGAGAAGAAATTAAAAAAAAATTATCGGACGATACAGGGTGGTTCTCGAGCTGACATACACCCAGTAAATACGATAATTTCAGATTTTTGAATTGAGTATTTATGAAAATACGAAAGCCGCCACCATTTGTTTGTGAGGCTCGTGGCGGTTTAACGGGGTTGGCGATTTACAAGGCGTTGGTTTTTTTGATGAATAGCAGTAAAGCTACAATAATATGAAAATTCAGTTGGATAATACAGTAGACTTTTTATCCGTGAAAACAATCGAAATCACTCTAGATATGTGTAAATTATACCTAGTAAATGTTTCCAAAAGGTGCATTACAGCATTTCATCTTTTTTTTTTCCTGAGAGGCCTCTCGCAGAAACTTGAATCTTGTTGGCAGGTTATCGAGGAAAAAATTTATCGACAAAGTTTATGGCAGGTTATCGACAGAGCATATTTGAGTTGTCAATAATTTTGTCTGCTGATGCCGTTTTGATGGAGTTTCGAATGGTTTTATTATTATTGACGATTCGGTTTTCAAAATAAGTTCCCGAAGGTGGTGTCTTATTGGGGAGGTGGGGTAGGGAAGTCTTAAATGGGGTTTGGCTGTAGTACGAAACCGGATTGATGGATATCCATTGAAGAAAATAATTAATTAGTTCCCAGAGTGACTTCCTGTGTTATTCAATCACAACTAATCGAACCGACGATAGACCCGCATGCCATATGCTTTCTTATCTCTCTCATTTCAAGGGAAAATCAATAATATTCTGAACATACTGCTATTAAATTACATCTGCACTTTCCTGGGAAAGTAAGTTGTGCCAAAATTACTTTATTTTCGTCTCGAAGCCGTCATAATTTGTGGCTGTGCGGATGAAATAAGGCGTTTTCATTTGTATTTTTAAACGCTCATGCGACACTAATTTCAGGAGCAATTTAAATATTTATATCGCTGTGAAATGTTCACCTTTTCATGGTATTTCCGAATACTGTATCTCCATAGGCAGATGTTTTTTCGATCAAGGACGTAGCGTCACTATTCAGAAACTCCTTTGAAGAAATTCGACATTTTTGTTCAGGCCCAGAAGGAAAATTCGCTCTTACAGTATACCCGGCGAGGCATTTTCATGCAAATAAGCAAACCTATCGAGCTCAAATGCGAGGCTCCGCAGAATGAACTCCGGTCTGAAACCCCCTTTGACTGGGTCCCTTCTTCTATGGCCTTTGGATGACTCTTGAAATATCCCCTGAAGATGTGCCATCAAATGATGCGGCATAATCGAGTAGATTTTGTTTTGGCGCGCAATTACTGTATGTATGGGTATAGAGTCCATTGAGTGTTTATTCGACATTTCATTTCGGGTAGATTATGCATGCTTTCAGCCAGGCGGAATGAAGGCGTATTGGAACTTACAAACATATTCTATGATGCAATCTTCTGTGGTTAAGCCAGAATTCTTCGGTCGAATGGCAGTTCAATTTAGTTACGTAATTTTGCGAGGTCTCTCGCCATTATCATTGACAATTTTGCATCCCTGGTCAACTCTCTGACATCAACAGGACTTGCTACATAGTCAAACCTCGTTAAGATGCCCCCCTCCCGAAATAAGCCACCACCTTCGGCAACTGCCAATTTATAATTAGAGCTTCATGCGAAGTTGAAAAATGTAAAAATTGTAGAAATTATGGCATCGTATCAACAAGTGTCGTGTTTTCCGCCTTATTGATGGGATTCTGGGAAGATAAATACATATTTTCACGCGTTCAGCGGGCAAATCACGGAGAGTTTCTCGTGTGAGTCGCAGAAGACTTGGGGTGTTGGTGATATTAACAATTTCCTTCCTTCCTTTGACAACAATTTCATACTTATATTTGTATAAAAAAGTATTTAAAAATATTTTCCGTTATACTGGATGCGGTAGCGCGTGAATCATCGAGTTTCCGGATTGAGGATGACGCAAGATGGAACATGATTGATAATAAAGGATGTATGAAACTATTCAAAGCTGCATATTTTTCAAAAGGTTCTGGAGTCATTATGGGTACGACAAATTCGTTCGGGCGAGTGGCAGAACGTTCCGGGATTTCCTGCAGGGCATCGACAACATTCATCATCAAATGCGGTTTGGGTACCCGAAAATGATCAGTCCCTCCATGTTCGTGACGAAAGAGCATGCCGGAGGAGCTCTCCTGCATTACAAGTTCGTGTCGTACATCGTCGAAAGCATAATCAGCACACATTTTCCACAAGCTGTCGACTCATTTTCGCAGAATGAGTATCATGAATAAAAGAAACATTTAGAAAAAATCCAGCTTCCGTTGATACTTGAAGGATTCATACGAATGCGCGTATATATAGTGTACTTCAACATCTGCAGATGGCCGAAATCACGGATTGATGGATATCCGTTGTAGAAAATAATGAATTTGTTCCCGGAGTGACTTTCCGTGTTATTCAATCACGACTAATCGAACCGAAGATAGACCCGAATGCCATATGCTATCTTAACACTCTCATTTCAAGGGAAAATCATTACTATTCTGATCATACGGCTATTAAATTACATCAGCACTATCCGGGGAGAAGTAACTTTATTATTTAAACAGATTAAAATGTTCCCCCAGGTGCAAAAAATCGATGAACCATCTGTAAACTCAATGATTTTCGTCGAAAATCCTTTCATTTTGACCCTATTTTATCCCGAGAATATCAGTTGTGGACAACATAATCAATGACGCGTGAAATATGATAAATGAATGACAATTTGCCAAAAATCCCAGCTTCAATTCAGTTAAGTAAAAACGAGAGCTTTGAATAAGTTCTGAATGCCTAGAATCTATAGCTGTACAGTGATTGAAAAGAGAGGTGGAATGAAACCTTTTTACCAGCTCACAATGTTCTATTTTGTGCATGAAAATGAAATCGCTTTGTGCAGATTAAAGTTTGCACAAGATCAGCATTTTCCTCGGAATGGTCTGTAAGAAAAATAACCGTCATGAATATTCAAACATTTTACAGAGAATTATTCAATTCCATTTATCTTTTGGTAGAGCAGAGAGCTGGAATAACGGTGCGTCGCCGCGGGAGCCAATTTTTAACACCCACATTTTAAAACCACAAAGCTCTTTACCCCAAGATGAACATATAAAATGAGCTTAGAAAAAGCATATAACCGCAATAGATATGAAAAGTATCGACGAGCACATCATCTCATTTTCTGATGACTGTACCTGAAAAGGGCGTGAAACGCGCATATTTTTTCTAACGGTGAAAAATGGCAAACTTTTTTCTCTGGATGGACGAAAGGTACAAGAGAAAAATGCTATTTGAATATATTTGGAAGCTTCAATCTTTCTTCAATGTATTATAGGAATATAATGAATTCATATGAGCATCACTAAATTTTTAGAAGTTTGATTTTTTTGCGGACACTGAGGAGTCCTAATTCAATCATCAAAATCCGAGGCGAAACTTCTTCTTTTTGCGAAAAAGCTCAAAGAATGACTGATGGTCCAGGCTTCTTTCAATTAGAGGTCTCTTGTATCGGGTGTCTATAGCGAGTCCAAGAAGAAAGGGAAACTTTTTTATTAGATTCTCCTCCTGCGAAGTGACATCCCGGGAATTTCTTCGTTTTCCGCGGGTAGATCCAAGCGGAGCGGTTTCGCCACCTACGTGATCGGACAACTGACGCAAGTGGCGTCAGATTTCTACGACATCGACTTGGACGTGGACATAGTGGAGACCTCTAGCGACCAGAAGCTGACCACACACACAACCATCTTCTCGTTGCGGTTTGAGAACACGGCTTTCTTGGATAACCTCCAACAGCAGTTGATGCGAGAGAAGGCTGTCGCGAAGATGCCTGCCGTCAAAAGCGCGCTGTTCCTAAGCCTGTTCCCGTTCTGCGTCATTTTCGATCGTGGCATGATCATCATCAATGCCGGGATCAAGCTCAAGGAGCTCATCGGGGCGGACGATTTCGTCGGCAACAAATTTGGGCAATATCTGACTATCCGTCGCCCGAAAATGGAAGGAGTTTACGAGGAGGTTCGTCAAGTTCGACTGAAGTCCGTGTAGTTCGCTCTCTCGGCCAATTTCGTAATCACATCATTAAGACGGTCCAATTCTTATTTCGGAGATTAATCGTGTAATCGATAACTCATGTCACCTCGACGTGGCAGTATTGAGGTTGATGCACGGCAGAAGATTAAAATAACTGATCTGCCTTATTTTCTCAGCCATCGGTCTGAAATTGTTTCCCCATCAGAAAAACGGGCGGGAAAACTCTTTCGCAGACTTATTCGCTGTATTAAAAAATATAGGAGGCCGTTAGTAAAATGAACACTGAAATGTCCGTACGTGAGGTCTATATAGTGATCGGAATCAACTGGGGGAAAATGATCAAGCCAGTGCAAAATGGGAATGACCGAAATCCTGCCACAGAAAATGTTTTGTGGCCATTCCCGCATTTTTCAAACTTATTGTGTATGTTTAGAATCGCTGAAGTATTTGAAATTTTTTCGAAAATCAAATCGACATTTTTTGTGCGTTTTAACGGAATTTTTCTCGTCAAACATTCATATTTTTGTGACCTAAAAATCCTCCACCCAGCACCCCCCGTCGAAGTCAAAAACAAGATGTGTTTGATGAACGCCGTAAATATTCTCAGAAACTCAGTACAGTAGCTTGTGCAGTACAGGTATTAGGAAACGAGGAAAATCCACGGATTAAGACTGATTGAACGTAGGAAGCAGCAGGAATACTAAAACGTGACATCAAGCAGGAATAATGCAGCGGACAGCGAAGAAAAATCTTCATCTCCGACGCGGTGTGAGATGTATAGAGAGATTAACATTTCTGTGCTGGAGAACAAAAATCTGATTTTCGGGGGGAAAAAATGTCACTGCAGACTGTTACTGGGTGTTCAAAAAAAAAAACACTGCGCAAAAGCGAAACTCGTGTGATAAGTTTCATGGAAAAGGCGCTTCTCGAACGAAATTTCTCCCGCAGTATCTGCTTTTAAAAAGAGGCCTGAAACCCTTCAAGGTTTAGCAATGTCCCGTATACATGTTCCCTGGTTGCGAATGTGCACTCGGAAGGATGGAATTTTGATGACGCAGTAACTTTTTGCATACCCTTTACTACGATGATTCGAAGCAGTGCATTTCCGCGAGCACGGCCCAAGTCAGGATCGAAAGGAAGCGGCCCTGCTTCCCAACAAACAAGGTTAATATGTGATAAAGTCCGACACAAAGGAGGCCATTTCTTCCTTGCTCAATCTACCCCGCTTTTAGTTGTCTTTGGCTTTTTTTTTTGCCCACTCGATCAAGCATCTGAAAGGAAGACCGTGTCGGACCGACTGATTGAGTAGATATTTTCTAGGAGGCAAAAGACAATGGCTTCCTCTGAACATGCGGCGTTTTCCAGAGAACCATTCGCCATTCCTCTGCAATTTATCTTTCCCGATGACGACGGGAAGTGCATCCTGTGCTATTTTTGGTGCCCCTACTTCCAGGCGAAAAAAAAGTATCCCAAGCCTCACCCATTCTGCGAAAAATTAATCCTAACTTTCAAATCAAGACAAAAGAATTGGAAAAGAAGGCTATGAATATCTCGGGAAATCACTCAGAAGAATTGGTTTCTTGTTTTTGACATTTTAATTTCAATTATGAAGAAAATAAACAAACGAACGTGCGTGGGGGCATATCATTACGGCTATAATCTGCCTTCAGATTAATGAGCGTGAATATTATCATAGTACTGTATTTGAATTTAGGACTCGCTTCCTATTCGGGAATGCATTAGGTGATTCCAGTATTGGCAATCAGTAAAGTGCTTGATATTTTGGATGAGCAGTTTTCTCGAAACTTTCGAAAATGGATATAATCTGCAGCGTCAACTTGTATTCCAAAACAAATTCAAGAACCTTTAATCTACAACCAATCGCTCGCTGGTTAACACAATGTTGCTCAGGATGAATAATTCCGTCTTCCCTTGAAACATTTTTGGATTGTTAATGGTCTGTCTCATCACCTCTATCCAAATGAATGATTACTGGACACAACTATCGCATTCATGGTTTCTGACGGTCGCTTGACAGGCCAGCTCTTCCGGTCCGGTCGCGTGACGATTTGCAGCCCCGCGGCAAAGTACCGGACGTTGTCAAAATTGATCTCTTCTTTGCGTGAAAATGCAGAGACTCTTTAGTCAAGCTAACGTGGCTATAATTGTATGTTTCCGTGCTTCCCAATCGTCGTCAACGGACGTGCATTTTCAAGGGCGAACCCGTTGGGTTTGCATTAAACTCAAGAGAAGTTTCGCTATTGAAAGGCCCAAAACCTTGTTTATGTCATAACAGAAGATCTATTAATTGAAACGCTCAGAGGTCAGAGGTATCAAGTCATTCTGAAGAATAGTCTCTTATTCCTGGCTCTTCCTCGCAGAAAACGTAAGATTTGTACCAATATCCTAAAAGACCTATAATTATTTATGACGTGTATCGTATCGAAACAGAAGATCCAGAAATTGGAAGGTTCGGAGGTCATTCATAAAAGCAATCCGATTCATAGGAATGCCTGACTCCTCTTGTGGAAAAATATAAAATTTGCCCCAATCCTGTAAGATAACCAGTGATCACTATTCATGGTTCAATTGCCCTGAATCTACGAACTTCGTGATACTCATGGAAGCCTGTACATTACTGCTACTGTATGAACTTTCGTTTATTCTATTTTCATCCGCAAAATCAATCTTGGAATCTCTATGTAAAATATTAAATTATTGTACAAATAAAATAAACTGAATCAGTGTTATTTCATCCATTGAATGGCCGTAAATGCAAGACGCATTCAGTCAGCTTTATATCGGCGTTTTCAATATTCTGTGAAGTGCTGGAAAAACATGGTCATATCGTCTGGAAGTATTAATTAATTCTCTGGAGCGTACAAACACTCGAAATGACACGTCATATCTGGTAATCTTTTTTCAAAACGCTTCGAGGCTTTGGCATTTGGCTCATTTCATTACGAGTCTTATCCGTGTTACTGTTCTTTCATCCGAATCGTTCCATTTGTATGCATTTCGTAGAATAAAAATTGGCACACAAATTCGGAAACCTCCTTTCGATGACTTTTTGATGGCTTGATCGTTCATGCCAATATGGCGATTCCACAGTCGATTTTATCAATTGCCAGGTGCTAAAAATGTGAAAAATAATTTAAATCGCCCAAGCGTGAACGCTCTTGAATGAATGTGCAAAACAAAATCAGTATATGCGTTTATTGTAAAAAAGTTCTGCATTGTTTTCAATTCCTATATTCTGAAAACTGAAATGTCATTATACGAGGGGTTTTGGGGACCGCTTTCGTAGCCTTGTTCGTATTCACGAAAATATACACGGATCAATCTGAAGCTACAAAGTTTGAAAAAATCTCACTTGCGTCTATTTCAAGATTTCACAGCTGCAGAATGTATTTTTTGAAATACAAGTCAAGAAGAAAGGGTTACCAATACCTTTGACAATCGTCAGTGATGAGTCCGGCACTCCTCTCCCCGGGTCCACGACGAACGGCAGATCGTCGGCTGACGAGCTGTCGAAAATAACCGACGTGATGCCGTCGGACCGTCGAGGATCGTTGACGACGAAGCCCTTGTTACTCAGAGGAAGGATGAACGTCATGACCGAGTGGGGTTGCCTGGCTTTCATCTGCATGCCTCTGTAAGTCATCCTTGTATACCTGCCTGCGGTTTCCAAATTAACGAGCGACCAATTTTGGCTCAAATAAAATTTGTGAACAATCAGTATATTTTCCAATTCAAAGAAAGCATAATTGCGTATTTCTACATGATATAATTTGTACTTTGCTTCCACGAGAAGCATGCGGAACTGCAATTGCCCCTCAGGTCAAAATTGTAACCATAGAAGCACCTTGAAATAAGCCAGAAACAAGATCTGTTGTTCTTGCCAATAGATCTCGAACGTGACAAGAATGAACATTTTAATGCAGTGTTTCCTAACCATTTTTTGGGCCAGCGGACGACCAGAAAATTTCCATAAAATGTTTGCAGACCGGCGATTTTAAAAAAAAATTCCTACTGGCCAGCAAAGTTCAAGAAAATTTGCATACTCAAAAAAGTTTTGTGAGAAAGTCTTTATGGCAGGTATATAAAAAAATGTCTCCTTTTTCCAGATATTAAGTTAGGAACCGATGAAGCAGCTTCAGCTAGTGGAGCGTCTTCAAAAATTAGAAAGATCTGCTTGAAAAATGATTTCTCAGAATGAAAAATTGAAATTATTTATCTGAACTACAGGTGGAAATATGTGTCTGAAGTGTTATATGATGAGAAAAGCCAATTTTTATTTTTCATCTGATAATTTAAACTGCCTGTGTCTTTCCAAAATTTCTGAAGTCTGATAACAGACTTCATTGCTACTTTTGATAAATTCATCATGCTGAAGAAAATTTCCCACGGACTGGCAAAAAAGTCTGTGCACTGGCACTGGTCTGCGGCCCATTGTTGGGGAACACTGGTTCAATGCATCAAAAGAGTACGGGAATAAAATGTGACCTTACCCAATGAACAGCAAAACCTAAAAGTTGCACCTTCTCCGGGCAGTTTCTTGTTTATATAGACAGTATATATTTTTCTCTTGTGTGAGCTTGTCCCTTCGCAAAGCTTCCCTCGGGCTCTAAAAATCTTCTGCGGATTGATTATTGTAGTCTTTTAGCACTTATTTTGGGCCTGTTGTTTTGAGGCTTGATTTGCTGGACTTGCTCAATATGCGCAGCCTTGCTTAGATGGAATGCAAAATGGTACCTTGCATCCTCAAGATGGTTAGGAGAGAATCAAGATCCACCTATTATGAGAATATGCAGGAATTATTTGAATGTACTGGGATAGCTTCCAACATTTCGAAATAATGTAGTTTATCTCTCCGAATTTTCTTTGTCACCTTCAGGATCAGCAGTTTGGACGAACTCCAGGAGCTCGGTCTGTTTCTCACAGACCTGAGCATGCATGACTTGAGCAGGGAGATGGTTCTGGCCGGTTGGCAGCACAATGCCAAGTGAGTTCGATATCTGCTAATGCGTCCCTCGATTTACGCAAAAAAGACGCAATAAGCTATCGACAACGTGTCTAATGAGACACGAATAGATGACCGACATCGAGGATTTGCACGCCATTCACGTAACCTCAAACTGAGATTGACTTGTTCCAAAAAGTATCACTTGTAATATACAGTGTATTTCAACTATGAATGGTACCTTCCCGTTATCACGCTACGATAATTTCTTCATGACTCCTTCACAAAACAACCTCTTGGCTGAATTTGGGCTTCAATGAAGTGAATTAATTTTAATTAAAAGTTGAGCTTCTTGAAAAATACATTTGGACTTGGACCGATTTCTTTTTTTCTGAAAGCAACCTGTCTTCTATTTGATTATGTCTGATTTTTCAAATTCTACTCGTAATTCAGCGTCAATTAAAATATTCCGCTGAACATCCGGTCAGCCGATTTTCGGAGACGTGTGCCGTGTCGAATTACGCTGCAACTTCAAGGATTATTTTTAAAATAAAATGAAGTCGTTGGAGAGCGTTTTTCACTGAATGTTCCACTTTTATGGAAAATTATAAAGCTTGGAAGTGACGTTTGAGAAACAAGAGGAGCGAAGTCAGAGATTAGAAGAAAGCTTAAACTTGCTTGACCAGTGGAAACAACGAGGCGATGAATTGCTGTATTCCATGATTCCACAAACCGTGGCTGACAAACTGAGGACCG